TCCTGGATGCGTTTCTGGCTGATCTTCCAGATGGCCCAGCAGGTGCCTGCAGGCCCCACCCCTCAGCCAGGTTACTGCAGCTGTCTTGCATTCAGTATCTACTCAAACATCCATTTAACGCACAGTTTTTAATTGTTTTGTTTTTGATATTTGGACAGCCTCTCAGATTAAGAGCAAATGCCAGATGGAGGCCACACCTGGAGTGGGAAAGATTGGCGCATACAAGCCCCAGTGTGACGAGCAGGGCCACTACAAGCCCATGCAGTGCTGGCACGCTACCGGCTTCTGCTGGTGTGTGGATCAGGCCGGCAACCCCATCCAGGGCACCACAATGCGCGGCCACCCTGACTGTAACAAAGGTGGGTAGCAAACTCAGATCAAAGGTCAGATTCATATGTAGTCATTTCGAAAGATGACATATTGTTGACCTCCTCTTCTCATAAACTAAATGTAGGTGCTGGATTTCGTCGCATGATGGTCGCACCAATGATGATGCAGAAGACCTTCCTTGACGGTATGGTGCTTTGATGAAGTTGTTTTATCTAGTTACCCTAAAGCTTAATGTTCTCCAAGAATGTTTGGTTGTGATAAACTGTGTTTTTTTTTATCTTTCAGAGGAAAAAGCAAATTAAGAGAAAGCTGGAAGCAAAGCATTTCTTCTTACCAGGACTATCTTTGCAGACTCGTGAAACTGGTTATTTTAAATTGGACGCTATTTTCCAAATTGGAGCAGTTTAACTTCAATACAAGCTTCCTATCCACGTAATCACTTCATGCTATAAATTTTACTATCTGCTTGGAATAAAATCAGTAGAGGCCTGTTACATTAATGCTTTTAATATGTTTTTTCTTGGGTGCCTTGATTTACATAGCTTAAAATTTTATCAAATCCTGTGAAATGTTATGATGTATTTCTTTGAGATGAATGTTTAAATGGTTGGTTCACCAAAATTTAAAAAACAATATATGAACATATTTGATTTATGTTTCCAGTTTCACCTGCCTAACACTGAGTCAAGACATGGTTATTCAACTTCAAAAATGTTTAGTTCTCATAATTTTGGTAAACCTGCCCTTTAAAGAATGGACACATATGATGAAGTGTTTTGTTTTTCTTTTAATTGTATAAGAAGTGGCAATAAAGATTTTCCTCTTCAACAATCACATTATTTGTCCCAATGTCTTTAGATCAGACAGCTGTTAAAGGTATTAATGAAATAAGGCCTGAATAAAAATATTAGTGATTGGACGCAATTGCACTGCTACCTCCTGGATTCTGTGTTGTCTGTTTGTAGTTTCTATGTTGATTTCAGCTCACTTTAAAGAGTTAAGTTTCATTGTTCAGCTGACATTATGCAAGAAGCATCTATCCATTAAATGTGAATTTCAACCTGGAAAGATTCACGCAAAGGAAGAGAGTGGTATTAGAAAGTTTGACAAACGAAAGGAATCGAGGTTCATAGTGAGATGTTTGGCGGAGCAGGTGAGACGACGTCTTTCAGTTTGAATGTACGTTTAGGTTTCATGTCTAAATTTAGCCATAATTTATCTTAAAGCTTCACCAGCTACCATTTCTACGAATATGCAAATGAAATGGTTTCCTGTGCCGGAGCTTCCTCTGCTGTCGGCTTAAAGGAGACTCTTCAGCTACTGAATGAATGCTCACAATTCACCTCCAAACAAGTTCTTTGTCCTCAGTAACTTGTATGTGTTACAGACATATCCTATATATCTATTATTATATATAATATATTATATATATATATATATATATATTATATATATATATATATATAGCAATCATTTAATGTGTACATTTCATGCGGTGTGACTTTGCTGGCAGTTTGCTTATTTACGGCAGTGCTGTTGGATTTATCAAATGCTGTCAAATGATAAAGAACAAAAATAATTAAAGATTGTTCGAACATCTACATTTTGGAATTTTATATATATATATATATTTTTTAAAATATATATATATATATATATATATATATATATATATATATATATATATATATATATATATATATATATGTATATATATATATATATATATATATATGTATATATATATACATATATATATATATATATATATATATATATATATATATATATATATATATATATATATATATATATTTAAAAAAAAAATTCCCTTCTCACCCACCGCGGGTGGTTCTTATCCTCTGAGCTCGGGTCCTCTACCAGAGGCCTGGGAGCTTGAGGGTCCTGCGCAGTATCTTGGCTGTGCCAATATATATATATATATATATATATATATATATATATATATATATATATATATATATATATATAAATTCCCTTCTCACCCACCGCGGGTGGTTCTTATCCTCTGAGCTCGGGTCCTCTACCAGAGGCCTGGGAGCTTGAGGGTTCTGCGCAGTATCTTGGCTGTGCCAAGGACTGCACATTTCTGGACTGAGATGTCTGATGTTGTTCCTGGGATCTGTTGTAGCCACTGCTCCAGTTTGGGGGTTACTGCCCTGAGGGCCCCGATGACCACAGGCACCACTGTGGTCTTCACCTTCCAGGCCCTCTCCAGTTCCTCCCTGAGGCCCTGGTATTTCTCCAGTTTCTCGTGCTCCTTTTTCCTGATGTTGCAATCGCTTGGTATTGCTACATCTACCACAACGGCTTTCCTCTGATGTTTATCCACTACGACAATGTCTGGTTGGTTCGCCATTACCATTTTGTCTGTCTGGATCTGGAAGTCCCACAGGATCTTAGCTCTGGCGTTCTCCACCACCTTTGGAGGTGTTTCCCACTTTGATCTCGGGGTTTCCAGTCCATATTCTGCACAGATGTTTCTGTACACTATGCCTGCCACTTGGTTATGTCGCTCCATGTACGCTTTCCCTGCCAGTATCTTGCACCCTGCTGTGATGTGCTGGACTGTCTCAGGGGCCTCCTTGCACAACCTACACCTTGGGTCTTGTCTGGTGTGGTAGATCTGGGCCTCTATTGCTCTGGTTTAGGGCCTGTTCCTGGGCGGCCAGGATGAGGGCCTCTGTGCTGTCCTTGAGTCCAGCTTTTTCCAGCCATGGTAGGATTTACTGATATCAGCCACTTGGGTTATTTGCTGGCGGTACATCCCATGTAGGGGCTTGTCCTCCCATGATGGTATCTCTGGCACCTCAACCTCCGTTCCCTGTTGTCTGAGACATTCACTGAGCACATTGTCTGTTGAGGCTTTGTCCCTGATGTATTTATGGATCTTAGTTGTTTCGTCCTGGATAGTGGTTCTCACACTCACTAGTCCTCTGCCTCCTTCCTTGCGGCTCGTGTACAGTCTCAGGGTGCTGGATTTGGGATGGAACCCTCCATGCATGGTTAGTAGCTTTTCTAGTCTTAATATCTGTGGCTTTTATCTCCTCCTTTGGCCAGCTGATTATTCCAGCAGGGTATCTGATTACTGGCAGGGCATAGCTGTTTATCGCACGGATTTTGTTCTTGCCATTGAGCTGGCTTCTCAGGACTTGCCTTATTCGTTGGAGGTATTTAGCTGTGGCTCCTTTCCTTGTGGCCTCATCGAGGTTACCATTTGCTTGTGGTATACCTAGGTACTTGTAACTGTCCTCTATGTCTGCTATTGTTCCTTGTGGGAGTGAGACTCCTTCTGTGATCACCTTCCCCCTCTTTGTGATCAGCCGACCACACTTCTCTAGTCCGAATGACATCCCAATGTCAGTGCTGTAGATCCTGGTGGTGTGGATCAGTGAGTCGATGTCTCGCTCACTCTTGGCATACAGCTTGATGTCATCCATGTAGAGGAGGGGACTGATGTTGGCCCCATTTTTGATATACTGATGCCTTATGTATTGAGCTATCCAGTCAGCTATATTATATATATATATATATATATATATATATATATATTATATATATATATATATATATATATATATATATAATAATAAATTCCCTTCTCACCCACCGCGGGTGGTTCTTATCCTCTGAGCTCGGGTCCTCTACCAGAGGCCTGGGAGCTTGAGGGTTCTGCGCAGTATCTTGGCTGTGCCAAGGACTGCACATTTCTGGACTGAGATGTCTGATGTTGTTCCTGGGATCTGTTGTAGCCATATATATATATATATATATATATATATATATATATATATATATATATATATATATATATATATATATATATATATATATATATATATATATATATATTTATATATACACACAAATTCCTGCCCATCTCAAAATTCATAAGTGCCCTTAAAGAATGTATCTTTTGAAACTGCAGTCCCATGATTTACGCCAGTGAAAGTAGATTCTGTCTCATTAATAATTCACCCTGCTGTAATAAAATCCGGGTCAGAAAGTGGCTGTGCAAAGCCACACGTTCAGGATGGCCACAGCACTCATAAACACACCTGTAAGTATATATTTAATACAGTAATTTAATAAATTGTATAATTTTTTTAGAGGCATGGAGATATTTAAGATGAGTAAAGACTGTATTGACGTGTTGGTTGAATTGTTACTCATGTCTATCCACTGTTAGATGTGTGGGGGAGTAGAGACAGTGAGAGTGGGAGTTGTACTCACAACAAGCCCAGGTAAATAAACTTCTGGAATATGTGCATTTATTTGGTTTTGAGTGCTGAGTTGAAGAAGGTTCACATGTTCTTGGACTCACAGATTATAAAGACTGTGCAGCTTTAGCAGTTGAAGGATGTGAAGTTAACCACAAATCTGCTACACATGAGGTAACCCTGTTCCTGCGCCACAATATTTAAGATGTTCTCTAGAAGGTGCCACAAGTCAGATGTGTTTTTTAGGAACCAAAGTCCTTCACATTTGATCAGGTTGTAACAGCCGACTGTGTAGAGGTAACACACTTTTTAATCTGCTTTCATACACTTTCTGTTGACTATTAAATGTTTTAAATCTTAGAAACTAACAATCTGAACCGAAACACGCAGAGGCTTCACTCTGAGCTCCTGCAGCCTCTGACCGAGTCCATGTCGAATGGCTATAACGTAGCACTGCTGATGTGTGGAACTCCCACGGAGATGGTTGGAGCCGTGACGGACAAAAGTATCCTCAGACAGGTGGACAATAACATTTTTACTCTATGCTTTAGAGGATGTTCTGTTTTTTTGCTTGGACCGGATTCTGAGACTCTGACCTTGTTTTAGGTCCTGACAAGTCTGTTCAGTTGCACAACATCAGAGGAAAAAGCAGACTCCTTCACCTCTGTATCATTTCTTCAGGTCTGCCCTTGTGTTGAAAGGTAGAACCCCAAAGCAGCTTTGACGTGACATGACTTGGAATATTGTTTCTCTGACAGTTTTACCCAGACGGGAGCGCAGTGGATCTCCTCAGCCTCAGTAAAGAAACTTTGCAGCTCGTAATCCATCCTGTACTCGGAAGGTATATTACGATTATGTATGTATTTACGGACCATATTAACTTAGATTTTGAAAAAGAAAATCTAATATTCAGTTTCCCAGTGGCCAAACCTTCTTGGTATTATTTAAAGCCGCCTTGATCAACAGATCTTGCCTCTGGGACAAAATGTTTTGTGTGCCCATCAGTGATTTTATTTCCTTTCCACTGACCTCCCATTGGGGAGTGCCGTGGGGTTTCATTTTACACCCTTTTTTGTCATAGTACTTCATGCCTCTTGGGCACTATTTTTCAGAAATAAGATTTTCTTTCATGTTTATGTAGTGGATTTTCATCTTTATTTCCCAGTGAAGCACACTGGGGAGTGTCCTGTCCCGAAGTTCTTTTTTATTGATTTTAGGAGATGGATGGCACAAAATGTTCAACATTCTAGTGAGAATAAGAAAGAAGTTTTGCTGAGCAGACATGAACGACTCCAACAAGATCACCTTTTAACTCTCTTAACTTTCTGTTCCCACATGAGAAAATTTTATCATTTTTGTCCAGGCCTGTTTATATTCTGTTAACCCTCATTTTAAAATCAGGGTCCGATTTTCATTGGTTAAATTGTATTACATTTTTATTAATCATTTCTTTTGTCAGTTTCAAGTTCTTTCAGTGGCCATTGTGGCTTTTATGGTAATCAATAGAAGTTTGTCAACAACCTTGTTCACATGTGTAATAGTTTTGTAAAAACAAAAACAGAAAAAAAGCTGAAAAAAATCAATATTATATTGTCAAAAGGCAACCTTGAGAAGCTAACATGCTTTAATCACCTTTTGCTTTGATTGATTTAACCTTCCAACAGGTACAAGCAAACAAGAACACATTTTTCCAATTTTGAATTCCTTTTACAAATTGCTATATAAATATTTTAATCACTTTTACACTCTGTCAGTAGTTTCGCTGCATTTCACCTGCCTGACTTGCTGTACCTGTTTGCACTGTTGCTTTGTCTCAGGTCAGTGTGCCACATGCTTTTACCTGCTCCTAGAGCTTGAGGCGAAATTTGATGTGATAGACTTAAAACCGTGGAATGCTTTCTCACGGTCTCAGACAGGTTTATTTTTTTATATTAAGGAAACCTTTTTTAACCCACTGCACAATGTAGTCACGGTCAGGTGACACGAAAAAGCAAAAAACACAAAAAGCTTCAGAAAGTGTGGAGAAAAATCAATCATCGCCACTTTAAGAGATTGCAAGAAATTTTGGCCTGATGAAAGCAAAACATTATCAAATTAATGGTTGCTGTATAGAGCAGCCATTATTTTATTTTATTTTTTTCAAAATTACGCTATATACTGATGTACAACAATGATTAAAAAATCCTTTTATCTGAGGCTTCAACATACAAATGTTTTGCTCTTTACCAAATCTTAAAGTAGTTTAAATCTGACATCAGATGTACAAATGCACAAGTGAGAGATTCCTTTACCATTTATTAAACAAGACAGAGGCAAGGAAATAATAAAATGCTCCCTAAATAATCTTATCTGCAAGAATATAAAAGGATGCAAGTTTAAAAAACAACTGATGCCTATGTGGCTGACACAGAAACCACATATCTATCTCTGTTTTGTTTCTCAGTGTTGTAGAAGGTTTGTCCGAGGTGTGTGTATGTTCAGCAGAGGAAGCCTGTGATGTTTTCAAAGCCTGCAGGGAGTCAATGAAAACCAACCCAGGAAGCCTTTCCAGCCGGTAGGTCATATTTCATCAATTCGCTCCAAAAGGCTTAAACACAGAGGATAGAACCAAACGTCTTGCATTTACTTGATTTCCTGAATTGTGAAACCGTCTCAGTGACCGAACCTGCTGTCTCTCCAAGACATCTGAAAAAATAAACGTGCTTGTTGTCTGTGTCACATGTTTTCCTCAGATGCAGTTCCCTGTTCTCAGTGACAGCTGAGTGGAAACTCCATCCGGAGCAGGCGGAGTCGGATGTCTGCTGCAGCAAACTGCAGCTGTTCAGCCTTGCGGGAGGAGCCAGCAGGACTGACCTCAGGGGGTCGGTGACATACAATCCCAACCTATCGGTTACACGAGTCTGAGTGGCTGATCAAATATTTACCTACCAATGCTCACCGAACTGTAGCAACCTGTCCAGAATACATGACATCCTAATATTTGCTGCAATTGTTCAATTGCAGCAAATCCAATTTATGCTGCTATTATGTATAATTTCTATTGTAAATTTAATCTGAGATATATTAAACATTTAGTCTAAACTAAGAAGATAGTGTACTGAAAATCATGTGCATAATTTTACGCTTGAGTTCTCTCCAAAATTAATAACCCTTTTGGTTGAAGCTGCAGCTTTTAGTCTTACTCAATTAATTTCTCCAAGATTTCTTAGCTTCATTTTATATATGCAGTGGCTCATTGCCATCTGTCCAAGAGCAGAGTGTGTATTTACATAAAATGACAACAAAGTAAGTGACACAAATCAAGACGATGTGTTAACAGCGTGAGCTTTCTTGTAAGAAAACCCTCCTGGGTTGTTTCTCCTGTCATGTTCCTGCTGCGACTCACAGATATGTCATTGTCTCTGACAATCATACCTTTTCTTAAACTTTATTAATATATTTATTTTCAAAGATAGAAGCGCAGGGATAAAAATCTTCAGAATAAGCAGCCATCTGCCATGTTGAGGGTTTGGGGGAGCAAGAGTATTTTTAAGAGGAAGGTAAACAAAGAGAGGGGAGTTAATGACAGAGTTGGTCTTTGACTAGAAGAGAAACATTCCTGAGCCAGAATATTCTCACTATGTAAAATAAAAACAGAACACACAGAATTTAAGGCAGCAAAAATTCAGTCAATAGCAGCATCGAGGAATGAAGGTATTTCAAAAGGAAAATAAGCTATTTTTATTGGCTTATAAACAGGAAACACTGAGAAACATTGAACAAGGAGCTCTTAATTTAGAAATAAATACAGTCTAGACAAAATGAACGGTGTCAATAGCTACATCTAGGGCTTCGTCTTGGAACAAAACACAACTGAACGCAATAAAACACTGATCAGGAATACTTTCTCATGAATAAAGACAATTTACTTGAAATACTGGCACATATATTTGTTCAGACATACAAAGATCAATGAAACTAAGATGTTTTCTATTCATCCCAAACTCGAATGGACATCGATTTGTCTGCGGGACGGATTTCCTGTGTGCAGTTGTTAACATGGCAATGACAAATTGGCAACTAAAAACTTCAACTTGCTGTTTCTTATTTTCACATGAGATTTCCTAATATAAGCATTTTTTTTCCCCCAGAGTCATCCCGCTGTTGAAGGTCGTAGACCAGACACTAAACTCACCTCCTGTAGTCAGCCACAGCCTCCTTCATGAATTGCTTAAAGACGCACTTACAGGAACCAACAGGACATTTCTCATCTACTGCATCAACCCTCAAGGTAAATGAAAGGAACATAGAAATGGGGGGGAAGTTGAGTTAAATCTGACTGGGTATTACGTCTTCTCAGGTTTCCTTGATGATGAAACTCAATCTGCTTTACATTTGGCTCAGAAAGTGAGAGGATTAGTCACTAAACCGACTTCTGTTTGCTGGAATCCGAGGACAACTGAGCAGGAGCTTCGCGAAAGGATCATGGAGCTACAAAATGTGCTGCTGCTCGGGGAGAGAGAGGTGCAGAGCATTTACAAGTTAGCTCAGCTGACTCAGAACCTGAAGGTAAATAAAACAAAATCAAAACTACAGCAGTCAATACAGCAGCATGTCAGTGCAATAAAACATTCTGCCCTCTCTAAAACAGATAGTGAAACATCAGTCGTGGGAGAAGAGGAGAGAGAAGTCAGAGAGAATAAAAGCCAAAATTAAGGTCTGGTGGTTGTCCACCATAATATAACATAGCTAAATTCAAACTATACAGGTTAATATTTGCTTTTTAACGTGACAGAAATCATCAATCGGCAGCCACCAACTTTCTGTAGATTGTCTCATCAAAGAGAAAGGAAGTACAGAAATGGCTAAACATCTGCAGGAAAAGTTGAGACAAGAAATGGAGGAACACATCAGAGGTAACATGATACATTTCACAGTATAATTGATAAAGATATTCCTGATTGAGTATTTTGTGTGTCTCTGGTATTTCCAGAAGGTGAAAGCAGCACAGAAAAGGTCCAGGAGCGGGTAACCAGAATCCAACAGCAGAAGGAAGCTCTGAGAGAAGAAGCACTGAAGAATGGGAATGTCTCAGCAAAATCCCAATTCTGTCAACAAGTAATGTACATTGTCTCAAATATTCCATTGCTCATGTTGTCCACTGATTCAAGCTCAGGTACTCAATTTCTGTTTCCAGTTCAGATGGATTGTGCCATTTATCTTAAAGCTTGAAACATGAATGTAAAACCAGAAATTTGACATTTCCAATTATTAATGTTTCGGCCACTTAAACGCAATATTTTCAATGATTATTTTTGATTTATTCTTGATTTCTTTCAGAAAAATATAACATATTTTTGCTGTCGTTAGTCAAACGTTTCTGTTGAGAAAATGTGTGTACTTTTGCCACAATAATTTGTAATAATTTACAACCTCACTGACTGTTCTGTCTGACTTTATGCCTAGACTTTATAGCAACAAGCTTTAAAAACTAAAACCAACATATTACAGGTATATTTCTAACATTAAGAAGCATAAAATGGCGACATATTTTCCTGGAGTCTTAGGAAAGAAGGTGTTCTTGTGAGTAGGATTCCTCACAGCATGACATCACCAGCTTTACCATAACGGAGTACCAGTATGGTTCTGACAAAATCATCTTTTTTCTGGTGTAAGGGTTCTTTCAATCTGGTCTGACAAACTTTTTACATGGTGCATCATTAAGAATACCTTCCATACGGCCACTTTATCACATAGCCTAATTTTAGAGGAAGGGATCGTTTTTGGGTCTTACTCAAAAAGGTGAGGTCGACTCATAAATCGTTTCGTCTGGTTTTAAGACACCTACAGTGATCTATGCTCAACACTGTTTTACTGTGATGATAACACAGGAATGTCTTCGCTCTACCGTCGGCTAACCTGATTGGAGCCCCTCCTGAAAATAGTTTTTAATGCCCCAAACTTTCACATTCTAGTTAATATTTTTTCCCATAAACAGCTTCATTCTTTGATAAGAGCATTAAGGGAGAGATGGGAGAAAATCCCTGTGAGAGCAACTTCAAACATTAACCCTGAGCAAATCTTCATTGTTTCATTTACTCGTTTCCCTTCCAACACTATTTTCTCCACTTGAGAAACTCTTAAGCCTCCCAAATGTCATCCGTGCCACTCCTGTAACTAATATCCCTCCTGAAAGCTTTGTGAACCCCCCCTCCAGCAGGATCTTGTTAGAAATCCACTGAGAGTTGTTCAGAAAGTGCTGTAATTATTGCCTCCTGGGACAACTCTTTGTAGAAAGCTCTGCGTACACGACCGCTGGTTCGACAGCACATTTACAAAGCTTAGTCCAGTCTTTTCAACATCTAAACAAGATTTATGCTTGGATTAGTGGGCAACACACACTAAGACGTTAATTTTGCCATTTTGATGATTAGTCTCAGTTGGAATACAATGAAGCGCAGGAGCGGAGGAGGCAACTTAAGGAGGATCACACAAGATTAATTCAGGAGGAGGTGGCGAAGATGGAGAGAGACTTGGCGCAGGAGCAGCCGCCGGTGAGATAATGAGATACCCTGTTATTTAACATTCTGTTTGTGATCCATCTCAGCCGAGAGTGCTGAGTCAGTTTGAATAAGTGCAAGGCTGAATTTATGGTGGGCAGAAATGGCTGCACTTCCATATTAACTCTGGTATTTCCTTGTATTTTTTTTTCTCTCTCTCTTCCCCCATTTCAACCACTGTTTTTTATTCATTGCTCCGTCAGACAGAAAGCCCTCAGAGGGAGCTGCTGGTGCTGAGCAGAGAGAGGCAGGTCCTGGTGATGCAAATAGAGGCGCTTCGTGCTGAGGCCCAGCAGGCAGAAAGCGACCTTCAGGATCAGCACCACAGACACCAAACGGAGCTGCATTGTTTGAGGGAAGAGAGCCTACAGGTGGGAATTAATTAGCTTTATATCCACACAAAATATTGTTTCTCGGTTTGGAAAAAGATTTGCATTAAAGAGAGAGAGAGAGCACAAAAACAACATCATAGGCTGAGAGAGCAGCGAGTGCATAGTTTAGGAAAGAAAATACACTGAGTTGCTGCAAAGCAGAGTAACATTGAACTCTTTTCCCTCAGGATGTGCATAAAATTGAACCTAAGAATCAAAAAACTAATTCTTAGAATTGTGTAAATTCTACCTTTGAATTATTTTCTTAAGGCTTTTCAGTAAGAAAGTTCAAAGACATGCATATAAATTGGTTGTGAATATGTTGTGGTTTAAACTGCTGCCAGTCTCCTCATTGACTTAGGGAACCTTGGGTGCATGTCACTAAACCTAATCTTAGCCATTATTGTCTATAATAGGCTTGAACTCTTGCAATTTTGCCCTTGCTGTACTGTATTTATTCAGATGAAGGCCCCATTATGAGCTGAGCAAAGCATATCTGGTTGTCATTTCTCTTTATTGTGAATATAGTTTAATACAGTAATAGTTTAATAGATTATTTGTATTAAAAAACAAACAAGCATAAGCGAACCCCATTATTGTTTGTAGGCTTTTGAAGTAACGACATAATTTTACAGTCAAGAATCCAATTGATCCAACACAAATTTAACTGCATCACCCAAACATGCTCGTTATCGGTCTTCCTGCTCTGCAGGTGTTCCGGGCGTTTCGTCAAGTTAGCGAGGAGCAGAGGAAGATTTCAGAGGGAAGATACAGGAGTGTGTTGCTGGAAGCTGTGCAGGATGCCATCTACCTGTCTGCTCAGAATCAGCAGCTGCAAGCTGAAAACAAGGAACTTCGAAAAGGTCGGTGTTTCCCCGCAGCTGGTCACATAACTGGAAAGGCTCTTCACAAATGTTCTCATGTTTTTCTAACTCTGCAGCAGTGGGGGAGATTAAAGACGCTCTTGCTGTGCGAGGAGATCCTGCGACTCACCTGATAAACCTGCATCAATGAGTCTCATACTGAAAACGCGTGTTGGTTAATGGTTCAGAAACTTTATTGGTCATAAACGCAACATGTAACATTTTAACCTTGATGTTGTGTTTTAAAGATGATCTGGTTTATGATTATGGATCCTTGCAGCATGTCTCTGCAACAATGTAACTGTGTAGCAAACAAAACATAACATTTGATTCATTTTGCCAGCTCGTTCTTTCTGCGTCTGCAGTAAATAAAGTCAAGGACTAAAGGAGTTCAGTTTTAGAAGGCAGATAACTTAAAGGCTAAATAAAACACAAATCAGACAATGCCCTACAAAAGGTCCTTATGTCCCTCAAGATTCTCCACATTTTATCACATGCGGCTTCAATGTCTGTATTTTACTAGGATTTTAAGCAATGGACCAACCGCAGTGTGAAGATTAAAGTTTTGGAAGTCTGATGGAGCAGAACTTTGACCAGAAAAGCAGTCGAGAATCCCACTGTAACACTAGAGGAGCTACAGGGATCCATAGCTCAGGTGCAACAACCTATTAAAAGGATTTGTCATGCACTTCACAAATCAGGCCATTTTACAAGAGAGTTTCAGAAAGAGAATCAATGTTGAAGTAAAGTTATAAGAAGTTTAACATAAGCCACTTGGGAACGAGAGCAAACATGTTTAAGGTGCTTTGGTTAAATAAAATTATTTGCCAAACACCATGATTGCACATCAGCTTTAAAACAAGATCCTCATGGTAACCCAGACTGCTGGTGATGCTGTAGTAGGAGCAGGGACGCTGGTTAGAGTTTATGTGAAAATTAAATGGAATTACCAGGCCTGTTTGTTAGAGGCTTTACAATACCTCTAACAGACCTGGTTAGAGGTATTGTAACCAGGCTTGGTTTCAATACCTCAGTCCAGCTGACTGTAATCTCAAACCTACGTTCTACAAATGTATATGTTATAACGATCTAGTCAAAGTCCAGACCTAATTTGTGGCAAGCTCTGCTTCTGATCTAAGTGGGTTTCAACTAGAGAAGAGTAAAAATGTTTCTAGATGTAGCACAGCTTGATGACCCCAAAAGATCTGCAGCTGCCCCAAAACGTGATTCGTTGAAACACGTTTCAAACTAAAGTCCTACCTTTCATATCTTATGTGAATGACATTACATTGTTTTCCACTCACTTCACTCATTTGATAAAATGTTTTGAGAGAAATGGATACTTTTCCATTGCAGTGAAATAATTCAAATGTTAAGGACCACAACTGGCAGCCTTTGTTTGAAGCTCCTCTGAAGCCAAACATGCAGGTCTCTAATGAACCCTCTGCTATCTGTAATAAAGGTAAGCTGCCAATCCAATCAGAGTACAAGGCAGAGGAAACAAAGGAGTGAGCTGTAAGCCTAAAATGGCCCAGGACAGCAGCGCATTAACCAGCATGGAGCAGGAAATGACAAACAGTCTAGTAATCCCGCTACCATGTTTGAGCACCACAGACATCAGAAGTCCATTTGCTGCCTGTCCTGCGATAATAGCCCACACCACCCCCGAGTAGCCCTCCAGAAACCCTGGGTCACTTCCGATGGAGGAGAGAGAGGACAGCCCATTGATTGCCACTCCAAACACATAGAGGTAGAGGTTCTGAATGCTGAGGGGCAAGCTTTGGCTCTTCAGCACCCTCTCTGTGTAAACTGCTGCCAGCCCCGACACGCCGGCGTAAACCAGCACAAGAAAAAGCCCCCAAGCAGTGATGTGAATCCTGGGACCCTCATCGACGTCAATCCTCTCAGAGCCTTGTAGATCCAGGCTGCTGTAGCTGTGGAAGCCCCCCGCAGCCATGAGGAGCCCCAGGGCGAACCACTGCTCAGACCGCAGCCTCTTCCCCAGACAGGCGGAGTACAGCAGGGCGGTCGAAGCTATTTTCAGATTAGAGAGTATTTGAAATGAGCTTGGGTCCATGTAGGCCTGCATGATGACAACCAGGTTGTTGTTTAAGGTGTACAGCACTGCAGGGATCGCATAAGGGGCAATGAGAAGTGGAGACCGCGGTATCGACGTGGCGCCTGTGAAAACCAGGCTCAGCAGGGAGATGAGCAGCTTGGCCAGCTCGATCATGAGGACGCAGGAGGAGGCGTTGAATGGGACTTGACCGTCTACTTTGGTGAGAGTGATAAGCGGCGCATGAGAACCATAGATGAGCACCATCAGGCCCAGCAGGAAGCCCCACTTGATCCTGTTAGTCCTGACCGGGGTTTGAGACCCCACGTTCTTGATTACAATCATTCTAAATGACACAAAACAAACACCAGCTTCAACAAGTACAAAGGATAACTTAAGTGCAAAAAAAATAAAATAAATCAGTTTTCTTTAACTATTATTTCCAAAACATTCTAAGATGAAATTGTGATTATTTTGAACAGAACAGTAAAGTTGTGGGTTACATAAGGTGGGGAAAGTTTCTGCCTGTTTTCCATATTAAAATCCGAAGGCCTTAATATAAATATAGCTGCTTTAGTTAAGCCCTGAGCCTTGTAGGCACGTCATGCAGATGCAATGTGTTAACAGTGGACAGTAGAAATTAAAGCAGGATCGAACTGAACCCAAAGCAACAGTAAAAGCAACTAAAGTTTCTCTCTTTAGGTCCCAAGTGGAATTCCAGTCAAAAAGGATGCATCCATAATCCTCCTCACTCAGAAAAGTTCAACTCCAGTCTGCCGTGGACCAGTTTCTCCAAGAGCAGTTCTTCATTTAGTGAACGTCAGCCCAATTTACTTTGGTCCCTTTTTCATTGTGCTCATGTAATCTTTAACGGTCCTTTCAATGTTAGGCACCTGATAGCTCTGGGCTACGTAAATGCCAGTGGCAGTTCCCAGCAGCACTCCCAGGAAGGCTGAGGAGCGCAGCTTTGCCACCACATAGCCGACCAAAAAGCCCTTCAGGAAGGGTGATCCCAACACCGTGCTTCCCTAGAGAACGAAAACAGACGGAGACGGTCATTAAAATTTGTTAGCATAATTAAGTTCCCAAGATTATAAGGTACAAAAAATTTTAAAATGTTAGATTTTCAAGCCAGCTTTAAGATGCCATCATACGGCTCATTTGCTTTAAATTACTTTCAATTTAGATGCTAAAAAAAGTGTGAATGTTGTCCCGGCTGAATGGAGTAGTTATTAAAAAGTGCAGCTCAGATTTTTTTACAGTAAGTTTCAGTGAAGTTGTTACCAGTAGTAAAAGCATATTGCTGTGAGTTTGTATAAATCAAAAGACATCTGGTGGCAGATCAACAGCTTGTCAAACTTTAGTTGATTTTACTTTGACATTAAAGATTTTTTTTTCTTTCAAAAAAATTTTTAAAATCCAAATTTGGTGAATTATGACTATTTTTGCAATATAGCAATAAAAAAGGTACAACATTCTAAGTGGTGAATACTTTTCATAGGAGCTGTAGTGCTACTATTACAAATTTTTGCCACGCTAACCAACTCTATTAAAGACACACTAGGACATCAACTTGTGAATCAGACAATTATTCACAGCCTAACAAGTGACAGGACAGTCTGAACCTCAAATATCCAAACTATTTTAAAGTGCACAGAAACAATAGTCTTTGATGTCAAAGTTGATAGTAAAGAAAAGAAAGTATCAACGTTTAGTCTGTATGGCTAAAACTATTTTGAGTTTCAGGGAGATGATTTAAAAGTACATAACGTGCCACTTCAAGGTAAGTTGTATATTCTACAGATAGAAAGCAGTCCCTGCAAAACGACCTCTCACTGATGAACCTAGAATAACAGTTTTACACACTGCTTAATTGTTTTACTCAACCAACAAGGAATCAAAAACAGCTGAGATGGGAAATCACTCACCAATCTGTTTGTGCCGCTCTTTATTTAGACATATATGCAATTCATCTTTTGAGGTTCTGATAAGTTTCCGAAATATGCCTCACAGAAGGATGTGTCAAATTGGACGAACATGCCCTGCTTCAGTCAGTGGAACCTGCATAAGCTCACCTGGGGAAATTCTGCGGATACCTCGGTCTCCACTCTCCTCTGAATCGCCGCCAGCTGATTTTTAAGCCGAGTCAGATCCTTTAACTGTGTCAGAGGATCCTGAAATAAGCACAGCTCATGTGAGATACATACACGAACCATATTGAATCCACAACACGTATGTGATTTTAACAGACCGTGATGTACAGTAAATGTACACTCGCGGCGGTTTGCGGCATCACATACATACAAAAGTTTTTCTGAAGTTTTTTTTATTTTGCACGTTCACAGGGTCGATTCCTTTTTTTCCTCTCTCCGAGAGCCTCACAAGTGATTATAACACAGAACTAACATTTTCTGTGGAATACCATACTTTTGTGCTCCTCTAACTATTGCTGTCATGAGCAGCAAAATTATTATTTATAAATTAGAAGCCAGACACATCTCACTCACCTTGTCATCCGCCATTTTTCCGGTCAGTCTACTTCTTCTGGAACAGACGCAGAAGTTGCGTTAGCGCCACCTGCTGGACAGGAGACTGGTAAAAATGGAGGAACAGATAAAAGCAGGCTCTGTTCGCCGGGGACTCTATAGAAATAATGTTGTTGATGAATATAAGGCCTTGTTAAATGTAACTGACACCACCGTTGATAAAGCATGTTTTTTCTTCTACTTGTAAGAATAACAGAACTATTCGTACCCTGTTTCAACAAGGTATTATAAATGTAAAATGTACATTTTCATCGTTTTCACTTTTTTTTCTTTACAGTTTTGATTAAGAAAATCAAACTCTATCCACTATTTCCTAGAGTATGAACAAAAACGTTGTAAACACATGTGAATGCTGTAGATCTCTGAATATTTCTTTAATTTGTCATATATATAATTGTAATTTTAATCCTGCTTCAATTAATATATTACTTGTAGCGATTAATTAAAGCAGGATTAACATTACAATTCATTGCATTTAATTGTGATAATGAGAAGATTTGCTTTACCAAACGTCACAATGTTTTGTACAGGCTCAGAAATTACGAGTGCGTTAGTCTTTGGAAACAGCGCCTCCGTGTGACTGCAATGACAACAATATTCGGGACGCAAGAGTCAATTTCACGTGTTAAAAACGTCTGACGTGATTGGATCGGACATATCTATCGCAAAATCTGATTGGACGAAGCCCATAGCAACAAATCGCCATGTTTCTTCTCGCTAGTCGTTTTATCGGCTAGGACTATTTAGCTGTTGCAGTCATTTATACGTGGTAAATCTTCGCTAAAGCATAAAAATGAACATGGAGGTGCTCCTCACCATCTATGCAATGACAGACTTCCCCCAGTAGATGCTTGGAACAGTTTCTTAAAGGTCGAAAGACGGTAGGTAAGGCTTCAACAAGACGGCATTTCATTGGATAGTTGACTAGGCGTGCAGGCAGTATGAACACACGCCATTAAACCAGTCACATCCACGTTTTTTAGTGTCGTTAAGTTGGCTGTACTTTTTTTCTGCAGAGCTATGTTCAGTGTTTCGTCGCAATCATGAGTCCGAGTTTATTTGTTCCGCATCATTTCTTTCCTTTTTGCAAGCAAATGCACTGTAACGTTGCATAAACAGATCAAAATGCATTCTGAATGTTCAAGCAATTAAGCTGTAGTTTTATTATTCTAGCCTTAATTGTAATTGTCGGTAGAGGGAGATGAAGTTGCACGATTATCCTGCAAACAAAGCATCTATTTGAAGGTTTGGTAAACTAAATCCATGCGTTTTATTAGCAGTGTCTTCGATCCATGGAAGACATGGACAATGTGGAGGTGTTAGAGGTTGTGAAAGTAACTGAAGAGGTTGAAGATGTGTACAGCCATGTGGAGATGACGTCCCCCAAAAAGAAGAGGGGCAAGACTGATGAAAACAATCATGAAAGACCCAAGAAGCCCCGGTAATGTAATGCGGATAACTTGAACTGTCTTTTTATGGACCTGGAGTAATTCTTTTAATGTGTTAATTTGTATGTGTGATTTATCATCTATCCCAGATCCGCCTACCTGCTGTACTACTTCGATGTTCACCAGGTTATGCAACTCGGAACCCCGAATCTGCCTCAGTCTGAAGTCAACAAACGAATCAGTGAGAGCTGGAGGAGACTGAGTGTAGCTGAGAAGAGCTACTATCTGGAGAGAGCCAAGTTGGAAAAGGAGGGGATAGACACAGTAAGTTAGACACATTAGCAAATTCATGGACCATAAACTAATTTATGCTTGTGGAACTTTCAGGACTGAGAATGCATAGACAGACATATTGAGGGTCTTCTTTTGATGTGAACGAATAATTTGCAATAACCTGTTTGCATAATTTCCAAACCACTTTAAATACTTTTTCTTTGTGCACCGTTTGATTTGACATCAGTGTTCAGTCTTTGTGAGTTATCCACCATTTTACTGAATCATTAATCTGACATCAACTTTTAGATGCTCTTGTGATTCAAAGAAATCATTTGCACAAAGCCCTAGCATTATATATGTATACTATCTATTATGTAATATTCTAAATGGCGTGGGTCATCAGAATCAGAATTTCTTTTATTGCTGTTGTGCACAAGGAAACACAAGAAAATTTAAATAACACTGGAGAAGCTGGACATTTTTTCAGAATTGATGGAAAAGCTTAATGGAAGCTGATCAGCAATGCTGCCAAAAGACTGATAGCAACTCCAAAGCAGCTGCAGAAATTTCTTGCAGTCTCTTGTAGTATTCTATATCTCCTGTATTCACCATCTGTCTGAACTAAGGAGCAGGGTTGAAAGAGAAACCTTTATTTTTGTCTTTTAGGGTTTCTCTTGAAACCAAATGGAAGAATGCTTTATATGAGTTGAAACCACCATAATTGTAACAAGTTCTTCTGGCAAAAAACACACAATGAAGTCTGAAGTGAAAGATGTTGGCAGCATCATGATGCGGGAAAATTTCGAGAAAGCCACTTTTCACAAGTATTGTCTTGATATATACATCTTAAGTTTGCTACTAGCTGAATGAGTGAGACTGAACTGATATTTTTTCTTATCTTTTTCTCTGATGTGCTTGCGGAAGCCTTTAACAACTCCATTGCATGTGAAATTTTTTTTTCTCAGACATTTCAAAGCTCCAGTAAACACCTGCCGGGCTTCCGCAAAATCCTCCCCAGAGCCAACTGCTTCCTGGTGCCCAACAGCGCCTCCTCTAACTATCAAACTGTAGGCTCTCAGTCAGAAGTGTGCATCGAATCGATTGATTTTTCAGCTGAAGGAAGCTTGTGCTCGGTCGCCCTCAGGGTCCCTAAGTCCAAGGCAGCACCTGTTGACTTGGCCGCTGAAGTGGAAATTTCAGAGTCCCCCACTGTTCCCAGTGATACAGCAGAGGAAACAGTGGTGTCTTCTTATGTGACTCCCCAAAGAACTTCGCCATGGTCTTCATCCAAAACCCTGACCTCCACAGACATCCAGGTCTCGCAGGGTTCTGTTGATGAGACGCTGAATGACGTCTCACTGAAAACAAAAGCAGGTGGAGTCGCAGTGCAAATGATGCAAAGAGAAGCTACGCAGATGGTGACCATTGTGCCCTCCCAGGTGAGATGTTTATGTAAATGATTTATGACAGGAATTTAAACGTTAGAACCGAAATAAAATGTTTCAGCAAAGCAGTTTATTTCAGTAAGTGTTTCTCCCAATGATCTTTCATTCAAGAATCAAGTGGAGCCTCAGCCTTTAGCAGGCATTAGTTCCCTGCAGCCAGTTATGATGATATCTGTAGGGGCCAAATCAGACCAGATTCCCAAACCTTCTTATAAAATGGTAAAAACCCATATAATTTTTTTTTTTTTTGCAGAATTTATTCTAAAATAAATTTTGAAAAAACAAAGTGTTATTTCTTCTTTACTGCAGTCGGTAAAGACATACACTAGGAGAGGTCGGGGGAGGTGTCTAAATCCTGGCTGCTCTTTTGTTTACGTCACTCGACACAAACCACCTACCTGTCCTGAGTGTGGGAGCCACTTGGGAGGAAAATGGATACCTGCTGTAAAGGTTAAGTTGTTTTTAGCAGGCAATATTTGATGGAAAGTGTTCTTCACAGCTCTGACTCAGTTGACTCAGTTGGTTTTGACTGTATTTGTGTTTCTTCTAGGCTAAAAGGACACAAGATAAAGGTGGTGCTTTCAAGCTAATAACTGACAACAAAAGTGACGAAAGCTGTCAGGCTGCACTGCATGTTTTTGCAGACACCAGTGAAACAAAGTCTGATGGCAGTAACAAGGAAGGTCAAGCTCATCGGAGCAGCAGAAAACAGCCTGCTCTATCACCACCAGAGGGCAGCAGCACCACCACACCTCTGCCTCAAATATGGTAAACGTCTTAGTCAAGTGTCTGTTAGGTGTTGGTCATTTTACTTTTCTGCACTTTGGTATCTTTGTGATTTTTTAATGTAGCGTTTTTAGTTATAAACTTATACTTACAAAATAACAATAGTTATAATAAATGATGTCAAGGATTTCTACTGTCCTCAAAACTGATATAAATTTTTGCATCTGAAATCACAAAACTTGAGGAGAATGTTGAAGATGTTGTAATATTACGAAAGAAATATAGTGGTGAGGGAAATGTTTAGTATTCTGTTCACATTTATCTGTAAAGAACTGCAGTTATGTGACTACTATTAAGAGAATGCCTAGATTTTTCTGATTGGCTCAGGTGTCTTTGTCTCTCATAATAAGAGCAGAACTCAATAAAGGAAAATAATGTGAATTACAGAGTCTTAGATTTTGATTAAATTACAGATGAGATTTGGGCATAACTGTGACATAAAACTTTGTTCAGGATCAAGTTGACCAAGTTACATATTACATATAAAAAAGCTGACCCTAGGATTAGACATTTAGAATAAATATAGAACCTCCAAACATCTTTATTGTAAGTTGTTCAAAGTCTTCAGAAAAATCTTTGTTTCATATGAACTTGAATAGCTACATATTTCTGGTTATTTAAAGGAATTTAGTGGAAAAAACTATTGTATTTTTCTATGTTAGAAGAATTTAGTCAATGTAGTCCATTGGTCTTTTCATGTTTTTTTAAAATGAATATCTGACTGCACTGTATGTTTTTCTTTTCAAGTAAACAAATAAAAGCGAATACTAAAAGCACACATCAGAAACCAGTGAAGAGCTGTGCTGTTGTTCAGACGAGGCCTGTGAGGCCCATCCTTCCTGCTGTCTGTAACCCAGGTAACACTGGACAAACATTGCATGGCATATACTTCAGGTAATAAGCTGTTATTACCTGGGTCAACATATTTGCTTGTGTTTGGGTCGATTCACAGGCAGCGCTGTGATTCAGATCTTAACTGTCACCCCCGAGAAAGAAAAACCTCAAGGTGTCTCTAAAATGAACCATTCAGCAACAGGTACTTTTAATGTAATTTTCCACATGGTGCTGTGAATGTGTTCACAACACATTTGAGATGCATGAAGAAGAAATGTAGTTTCTAGATGTACTAGGTGTTCATCTGACGTGGTTGTGCTTGCAGCCACGGTGCCTCAAGAGATTCTGTCAGGTCTTAAACCCAGCACTTTAAAGCAGCTTGGCCAGACCGTCCCAGCAACAACAACCATCCAGGTGAAAACACACCCATCAATACTGAAAACACAGAGCGACAGTGATGAGGTCAAGTTTCTTCACTCATTGCATCCCCTTCTGCAGGATTCCTCCGTCTCAGCAGACAGAAGTAAACATGTGACTTCCACTCCGGACACAGGTGTGAATGTTCTGTCCCTAGTGCCTTTCAGACACACGGTTTCCTGTTTTGTAAGTAAACCCCATGCTTTTTATAGAGAATTTGGTACTCTGTGGTTTCTATTCTATTTGTGTGACGGATTTTTGTTTGCGTGTTGTTTCAGGATTTGGGGCTATCCACAGCACGAGGCAGAGGCCGCTGTAAGAACCCGGCCTGTGACTACATGTATAAGAACCGCCACAAACCTGCTGTGTGCCCGAAATGTGGCAGCGAGCTGACCAGAAAGAATAGCAAGCCTTCAAAGGTAGGGGAAACACAATATCCAGATTATTTGTAAGGTGTAGATGACGCACGAGTTGAAATGGAGCTCAGAACAATGACTGCTCAAAGACAGCTGCTTCTGTAGACCTTTGATGGATAACTTAATTGTTTTCTCTTTGGGGCTTTCACACATTTTACATTTTTTTATGACTTAGTTATTGACCTTTTTACTGTTCATCACATTTTGATGCTATAAGGTGTTGCCTCTTCTTTCCCTCAATAACAACGTCCACACCAAAGAGTGCTGTCTATGAGTAACTGATCAACAATTAGGTTGGGTCAAGTACAAATCAGCCAGTTTCACAGCACTGATCAAATCATTTATTTGCAAACAGGGTTTGTTGATGCTGAACTGTGTGCATGAAATCCTCTCACTAACTTTCTGTTTCCTTCCTCAGTCTGAGACTTTGCTAGATCCCCATCAGGACCTGAGTCCTGCTCAGAGGGACATCCAGCGCCAGAGCACTTTGCAGCTAATCCGCAGCACTCTGCAGATTCCTGAGAGTGACACAGAGCTGCAGGAAACGATGAGCCTCATCCAGGAGCTGAACAGTGTTAAAATAGTCTTGGTTAAGAATGGTGAGGGAAGTGATGCTGAGACTGAGACACTGTTGGAGACTGGGTGGCCTCAGTTTTATGAATCAGCAGCTACACACTGTGGCCTGTGTGGCTACCGTCTGTGGAAAGGAGGGCAGGGGTAAGTCCACACATGGTGACTTTTCCTCGTTTTGCCTCATCATTTTTGCAAACTTGCCTCATGTTGATTTATGAGATTTAATGTAAACTTGTGTGCATGGTTATGATTGGACCTTGTAGTACCGTCGCCGGGCAGGAGGACTGCTGGTTGCTCACCGAGACTCTGATGCAGACAGCTTCTCTGCAGCTCAAAGTGTGTCCCAATCTTCGATGTTTGGCTCTGCACAGCTTTGCAGATCTTCATCCAGGTAACCACAAACACTCAGCTGTTGCAGTAAAGCAAATTTGTATGATTCTGAGCATTATTTGTTTTAATTTCAAGGAAATGACTGTTTTAAAATGTACTTTTTGTGTAATCGGCTGTGAGAATAGAGCTAACCTGGTTTAAACTCTGGACCAGTTGTGAATGTTTCTCATTCACACTGTTTTACCAGGTGGCCTCAAGAGGGCGCTACAGCACAACATAATCTGTTTCACAAACTAATTGGAGATCCGTAGTATAATAAGTCTTTCTACCATTTTTTTTTCTCAGAGTGAGTGTATTACCAAAATCCTTATCATGTTTACTAGTCTGGTGATTATTACACAATAAAGGATTTGAATGTTAATTAACCTTTTCAAGTTTTATCAATCTTATACAGCTTCTCCATTTAGCTATTATCCCCATTTCAGCTTCGTTTTTTTCATTTTTTTTAGTTTTAGGAGCAGCTCAGTGTATAATTTAATATTTACTGCTCCTTTATGTTGCTTGACAGAAAAGAAAATGTTTTACGTCCAAGCAACAGATGTTTCTGTTTTTAGGGTTTTTTTCTCTGAAATGTGATTCTAGCTGTCTCATTCTTATGAATTCCAGTTTCTTAGAAGCATCTTAGGTAGATTCCTTCAAAACTCAATCATTATCTGAGGATCCCGGCCAACAGCACAACCTGAGAGGAGCTTTTATTTTGCCTGGCAGAGTTGCCCTCAACTCACATGATTAAATGGATATTGTATTAGCTGAAGGTCTCTCCATCTGTATCTTGGCATATTTTATGGCATCCATGGAGAATGAGCCACATGCTGTGTCCATACAGGGACCCAACATAACCTGTAATGCTGTGTTAGAATAGTTAATCATTTCTGTCTAACACATTGTTTACTGATTTGTTCAGGTTTGTTCAATGTTGGGAATCGACTTCTTGTAAGTCTTGACTTGTTTCTGAAGATCAGAGCCAACATCAAACTGGGCCAGGCACCATCTCTAGCTGCTCAATCTGTGTTTGACCAAATCCAGAATCATCCAAGTAAATTCCAGTTTACCTCTTCATGCATTTATTCAACAGTAGATTTTATTTTTGATCAGCCTATTGATGCATTTGCTCTTACATTAGTCCATAGTCTTACTCCAGAGGAATCATCTCAAGTTCAGGAGCTTTTCCTGAGCGGCTACTGGGCCTTTGAGTGTCTGACGGTGCGGGATTACAACGACATGATCTGTGGCATATGTGGCGTTGCCCCAAAAGTTGAGATCGCGCAAAGACACAGAAACGACGCATTGGAGCTGAAGAATGTGGAGGTGACTGACTGTTTATGTAATCTGCTTATATACTTATAATTTTTCAGCAGATTCAAGAAGCTCATGCGCCTTTTTACTCTGCAGTTTACCTGGCCGGAGTGTTCAGTCTCAGATGAAGTTCATGTGGATGACTTCTGGCTGACCATGGAGGGGGAAGCGATCGAGCAAGCGGCTTTCCCTGCAGACATCCCCATCACACGGGTGGATGCTTCCATCATTGCTCCTTTTGCACCGCCTTTGATGAGGAGCCCCACTGTCATCAACACAGAGAAAGACAAGCTCATTCCACAAATACAACAACCTGCAGGTACACACACCTAGTGAATTGTGTTGGCTACATTTATAACAGCCTCACACTTGAGAAATAAATAAATGTGTTAATATCGCTGTAGCTATTTGCTTCATTTATAGATAAAACAAATGGATCATGTGTTTATGCTTATGGGATCTTTCTTTCAGGGGGTTGTTTTGTTGGCTATTAGAATATTTTCTAATGTTTTCAGGAGATCCGTCAGCTTTGGTTCGTCTCATCCATGACGGTCAGCTCAGACTCGACAGGGTCGAAGATCACAGTGAGGATGAGTTGAGAACCATACTGGTCAGCTGTGGAGTGGACCTCACTCCTGGCTCCACGAAGGTGTGTGTTTGTCTGGCAAGGAAACAAGTGAACCACAACAGAGATCCTTTGAACAAAACAGTTTATACCTTTTAGACTGTTTCATATTCCTTCCTAATAGCCACAAACTTCAGGAAATCTATCAGGTTAGACCAAAACAATGTGGTACTTCTGAATTAGAAGAATTCATTCATTTACAAATATATGTATTTATATTTTGTGTGTCTTTACTTTGACACGCTTAAATAATACACAATAAAATCAGTTACCCTAGAGGATGAAGGACAGTAATATCATTTCAAACAATAGCAACATTATAACTTACTGTTGCAGTTAATGCACACCAATCAATTTATCTCTCTAAATAAAAAATATCGTTCACCCAAAACCTGCATCTTTGGGCTGTCTGGGTTCAATCTTCTCTGTTCATTTGTAATTTGGCTTTTTAATTATTCTTAAAATGAATGTTCTTGTTGCAGTAAGTCGTGTTTTCTGTGTTTCACTGCTAGCATGAGCTTCTGGCCTCCCTGGTCAACCTGTACACACACGCTCACAGTGGCCCTCCCACGGCTCCACAGCCACCCCCCCATCTCACTGCCGGCAAGCTGTCCAAGGCTTGCCCCCACAAGGTGAAACAGTGGTTCTCTTATTTGTACATCTTTTGCATATTTGTATGTTTAACTTGTACCTCCTATACCCACTTTCATTCTGTTTCCATTTATTTATTTTTATTACAAATCCCCTCTCTGTAAGAAATGTTGGATGTCATATTGGGATGAGCTAAATAGGGCAGGTCAGCTGGAGTGAATGTAGGTTCTGACAATCTACTGATAGATGATTAATTCAGTTGTCATCGTTGTTGTATTTTTCCCTTAGCTGTTCAGGAACCAAATTAGTTTCAGTAAAACTCAAAATGGCTGTGATTAAAACAAGCCCATAAGTGTCATTATGTTCCCAGACATGAATTAAATCAATCATTTCGTACTGCAGCCGTAATAACTGTGACATTTTGAGCCTCCGACACAATCCATTAACATACACATGAGCCATAAGCCGTCTGGAAGTATCTTCTACGTCTGGATAGGCATTATGTCCATCCATCCATGACACATTAACTGCTTCATTAGTTCCTCCATCTAACTATCAGTCCTTTCAGAACTTGCTATGTTTCTTGTCATTTTTGTGGCCTAAAATTACAGATTTTTGTGGTACCTTTTTCTAAAAGTTGCACATGTCTTACTTACTTGCCGTATTTGAAATAACACTTTCAGTGCAAATAAAATCCTATCATGAGGGGTTGTCAAAGGCAGTAATACTCCTTCTGTTTCCACACTCAGAGTAGATACATCTAAAGTTTGAGGTCATGAGCAGAAGAACAAAAAATAGCAACACTTGTATTGAAGAAACAATGGTTTTTCAGTGTGGGCAGTTGTTTTATGGAGATAAAGGTCACAAATCAGCATTAATAGCAAGAAAACAGTCATTGTGTTCTGAGTATGTAGTGTATAAACTAAACTCGTGTATCAACTCTCCCAAAGAGGTTGTTGTAAGAACTATTTTCTTTAACTGTATCATGGCTGTGCACTCGCTCACACGAAGACAGAGCGGTGAAAACTTTATGGTCTTTGGGTATTTTCAGGTTTTACATTTAAAGTCTGACATTGATGAAATAATCTGCTGTTGATTCAATTTAAAAGTGGAGAAGGAGTTCAATTAAGTTCAATTAATTGACACATTGATTATTGCAATAGGTTTAATTGCATTTCTGGCTTATTTCTGGTTGTGTGTTATGGTTTTAGAACACTAGATGTTGTTTGCTCAACCCACCTGTAGGTGGTGTGTTCCTCTAAGTACTTGGTGAGAGGAGAGACGGCTCGAGACCACGTCGATCTGCTCCTTTCCTCCCGCTACTGGCCTCCAGTTTACGTTTGCGACTGTCCTCGTCAAGTGGCGCTTTGCACTGATCTGCAGTATCCAGATTTGGCAACACAGATGTGGGGCAGAAACCAGGGCTGCTTCTCTGACCCCTTTGAAAAGCCAGAAGTAAGTGTCTCCGGAAAGTCTACATCTCAGAAACCTTTATTCAATTGGCTTTTATTCAATTAAGTCAATAAATTTACAGGAACACAAATAAAAAAGATTGAAAGACTAACTAATGTTCTACACTAAATACAGGCAAAAGCATAATCTATTTATTGATTGAATATGCAGCTCAGCTAGATGCAGATTTGATTTAAATCCAGTAAATGAAACATTTTTATAGCATTCTGTGACTCTGTGTTTTCAGTACGTTTCTGCCCAGACAAACTTTAGTTTCTGTTTTAGTTTGTGACATGCCCCGAGCTGCAGGACCAGCCGTACACCGCTGACCTCTCTTTGGTAGCAGAGAACCAGCTGGTTCACCCCATCACAAAATCCTCCTCTTGCTGGCTGGTTTATCCTCCAGGAGCAGCGCTGGACACTCCTGGGCAGGAACACCACTCCATGATCCGCTGCAGAGATCTGGAGCCGTATATCAGTCTGCTAACAGATCTGGACTTAAAGAAAGAGGAGCATCACAAAGAGGAAAACATAAAAGAGCAGACCGACATACCAGAGAATGACTGTTTAAAAGAACCAGAAGACAATGTGAACACAAAGCCCATGATTTTCAACAACACGGCTTATTACTACTTGTACAACCGACTTGTAGACTTCCTCAGCAGCAGAGACATAGTAAACCAGCAGATCAGTCAGGTTGTGAAGGCTTGTCAGCCTGGAGAGGTGGTCATCAGAGACTCTCTATACCGACTCGGAGTGGCACAGATAAACACAGACGAAGATGAAGGAATGAGATTAGACGCACAGACAGAGGAAGAAGGACAGAAACAAGTAATGGTTTTAAGCAATTAAAAAATAAAATTTTGGTTGGACTTTATAATGCTATAAAAAGAGACTTGGGGGCAAGGACTTTAGAAGCAGCGTAGGACTAGAAATGACTTTTGTATTATGGAGGAGACAGAAGAGAAAAATACATTTGAGACGGTGCTGGTCACATGTTGAAGGGTGGGTTGAAATCTGTAGAAGAGAAAGCTGTCAGACTGTAGTGATTACTGTTAATATATTGAGTTTTATTATGTTTGTTTAAGCATATGGAATGCTTTCTAATGTTTTTTCAAGCATAAATAGTAATACTACTGAAGACTTTAAACATGGATGCTTTAATGCTATTTATGAAACTGTCAGTTTACATGATGAGTGTAATTTTGGTTTCATGCTAAAATGTTTATGGAATAAGTTCATATAGTGACAAATCCAAGGCCCAAGTTTTGACATCTGCTGATAATAGATTCCTGTAATATGATAAAGCTGCTTTGCTTTCACTTTCATTTACACAAAAATGTAAAACATGATCTGTTTTTGTCTTCAACATAAAAGTAGCAATTTCTTCTGCTTCCAAAATAATGCATTTACATGTAATATTTGTCATTACATGTAAAGTTTATTTTATATTACACAGTTGTTTTGTTTTACATAGCAATTTATTATGATACAGAAAATATAAGCATGCTAAATTTGGCATTTTTCACAGTATATGGTCCTTAATCTTCCAAGTCATGACAGTTCATTTCAATTATTTCATAATCCACCGAATTTGTTGTACTTATTGCAGGAATAGTGATATAGCTTTCTTTCAGTCAGCTGATCGTTTGCAGAGAAAACTCTTTGGTTGTTTCCCTGACGTCTCAGAGAAAGGACTTTTAATTTTAGAAACTGTATGATGGAGAACATTTGTAACTTTGAAACATTCGTAACTTTGTACCGCAGGATTAGTGGTATCCTGCGGTACCACTAATCTGTCTCCTTCTGACTAAAAGAGAGTAAAGTGAACTAATGCAAACCTTTTTCTGCATCGTTATCCATGTGCCATATTCATAGCATATTTATATCAAGACATTTCTGCCTTGTGGTTTACAGGCTTACCTCTCTATAACCTTGTGGGCAGATTTTTACAGATATATTGTGTATCTGCTTTTTTCCCACTGGGTTATTAAATAAAAATGGACCTCAGAGAGTAGTGTTTAACTTGCGTGATATTATTTTGTGAAAAATATATATTTGATGTGGGCTGCTGGATGAATTGATTTAATATGTATGAATCCATTAGCCTTTAAGAAACAACAAAAGGTATGTGCTTGGTGCATATTAAAGCAGAGCAAACATACATTTACCTGCCTGCGGTTGTTGATGTTTTTACACCTGTATGTCAAAAAATCTTCAGGTCATTGACCAGGCCCTGCCTTGTAGTTCTGGGCTTTCTGAAATCTTATATGAAGTCCCACTTCAAGGAAGAGTCACAGTCATCTTGAGTTTCTTATAATTGCAACAAGTGCTTCCTTCTCACCAATCTGCCTGGCTATTGATTGGTGCCTCATCAAGCAGGTGAGGTTAATAAAGGTAATCAGTAGGAGGTCAGGAGGGATCCTTAAACATGACAGGTTTCTGAGATCCACAGTCCTTACTGGTTGGCTAGTCACTAAATCCTTGTTTGATGCATAAAAAATTGTATTTATTAGATAAAGATCATACAATGTGATCATCAGATTTTATTTTCTACATTCTCTGAGGTGTACTTAAGAAAATCACAGACCAGTGGTGTGTTTCTCTCTGTCTCTTTGTGTCTATATATATCTCGGATGAAATACATTAGCAACACAGCTAGCAACTTCAGGAAGACTGGAAGCATTGTCCTGTGCAACTGGTTGACAACTTTAAATCTCTTTAATTGACTAATTTGTGCAATTTTGAAACTATGTGCAACCAAGAATCAACATAGAAGTCAAGGTCTTTTTTTTTCTCTCATCAGCAAAGAAAAATGAAATTATTTAGATATTTGTTTTGTTTATAAATCATTTAGCAGAATAAATTAATCTGCAAATGATGAATGACTTGTTACTATTAGTCCCTGGTAAAGCAAAATAAGCAAATAGTTGAACTACTTTAAAGTCTGAAAATAGTAAAAAAAAAAAAAAAAAAAAAACTAGAACATCATTTAGACTTTTAGATACATCGATACAATTTCAGGGTTATTGTGGGAAACGTTCTAGAGGAAATTCAGATTGGATCAAATCCAACTGAAAAGAGGAAGTGGGGAGAGAGGAAGACAAAGGCCACACAGTTTCTGTCTGCACAGGAAATCAAAAAACACAAACTGCAAAGTTCTTAGAGGTTTACCAACACCGAAGTGGAAGCTGGACTTTTATTGGTAAGATTTTATTCAACAACTGCATCTGCACTGATTCAAACAAAAACGCACTGAAATGCAACATTCAATCTACAATCTACAACATTTCAGTGAAAATAAAGATAACTTGAGTTTATCTCAGATATATACAGTATGAGACGTCTCATTCAGACGCAAACACGTACAAAATGCCTGACATCGCGCAAATTTTCTGTCCGTATCGTTCACATAGCTTATAAATCATTCTAAAAATCATCAGACAGTTGGCAGTGTGGGCTGGCCGCTACATACAGACATTAATGAAACGTTTCTTATCCAAACATTCATCGAATGCCAGGGAATGAAAAGATCCAGATGTCACCTACAAAATGTAAATTAAAAAAAAACGATAACAAGAAGTTCACATTGTCAGACATGAAAGGCCCAGAATAGATCCACAGATTCTTTCTGCTACTAAACTACGCTGAACACCGCTAAATTAATTAAAGTGAAGCAGAACAATCACATGTTACTAGCCACTGACGAGCATTGTAAGTGTGTCGTAAGAAAACAGAGCCATGACAGAGAAAACAACATGCTCATTCTTTTGGCTTGTCATTTCAGTTGCTTTACTGTGTCCAGATCAGGAAGGAACATATTTTTGAACCTTCATGTAAAGAGTGAGAAGAAAAACCGACTAACTTTGAGAAAAATCATAAAACAAGCTGTTTTAGACCAGTGTTTGCAACTATTATTGCACATGCAGTACATGCAAGCTCACGTTGCACGTGCCGGCAATATAACCATTAAAAGGAAGTGATCCTGCTGATTTCAATCTCCACAAAAACAAGACTGTCATCTTGTTCCAGTGAACAATGTAATAAAGACGATGTGCAGCAGATAAAATAAAACATTTTATGTGAAACAAAGACTGATGAACAGTCAGTTCATCAATAGAATAACATCATTATTCTATTGATGTGTTCAATAGAATAACAGCTCTGGAAGCTTGCGTGCTTGTTGACATGATTCCTCCCTTCGTGTCTGCAGTCAAGGTTAGAATTGGCAGTTTCTAGTCATGGACTGCACAGACGCGAGTCACATGCTTCGCTGCAGCCGGTCGTCTGTCTGGCGAACAGGCACAGCGGAGCAAAAAATAGCAGAGAGGGTAACAGTCTGCAGTGGTGCAAAAAAAACAACAAAAAAAACCCAAACCAAAACAAAACAAAACAAAAATTCTGCCTTGAGCTGCAGCAGTTAATTTTTTTAATCATTATATTATTTTTTTAATGTTCTGTGGTAATGTTTTTTTTTTTACAAATGTGTTGTTGTTGTTTGGGACTCTTTCAACAAAACTGATAGTTGTTTGTCTTCATCAGAGGCTGCTCCTCTTCTTCGTGGTCACAAGACTGGTCACATGGGCCATCATGACACTTAGGCTTGTCATATGCATCAGCCTCTGTGAACTCCTGCTGCATATTCTGGTAGATTACCTGAGGAAGGAAGCATTTAATGGTTTGATAGGTGCAACATATTTTATTTAAAATACTTCTGCTGATTCCATGTTTTGTCTGTGACAGAGGCCTTTCTTAGATTGTGATTTAATTCCTCTTCTGGTTCTCAAACTGTGATGCAAAAGTACCGTCAGTGGACCTCAGTCTGCGTTTTGCGGTACTGAGACAAACTGGACAAACCCAACTAACCCAAAAGATGACCCCTTTAGGCACATTGATCTGCGCTTCCAGCAGATGCTATCAGATACTTTCAGTGGAGCAGATATTAAGAGCACCTGCCAGTTTTTCTCCGGTTTTATTTCTTTGTTATTTAAAAGTTTCAGACACGAATCTCAAACATCAGCGCAAACACAAAAAACATTCTCAAAATTATAGTACTTATTCAAGGAAGAAAACTTTCCAAACCAACTGAACCTTTTTAGAAACATAATCCATTTCTAAATCTAATGACTAATTGCATATGGTGGCCATACAGGCTTATCAGGGATTTACATCAGATATTTATAGGAATATTTTACCACATGCTTCATTCTTAATTGTTTAAGTAAGACATACTGGAGAGGTTTTGAGCATGACTGATCTGCTTAAAGACACACAATGTAAATTTAATGTTGTATATATTTTTTAAAACAACCAGAGGAAACTTGCTTCAGATCGTTGTATTGTGGTTCAACACAAGCACACCCGAGGTGGAGTCACGATCGGATGACCAGATATTCTCCTTTGTGATTTTCTAATTGACAGTAGAGTTTGTGGTTTTATTAAGTGGAGCCCATTATCCAGATCTGGAATCAATAAATTCTGTTCGGACTTGTCCGTCCACAGAATATTTTCTACAAGCCTTGGGGATCGTTATTTTGTTTCTGACAGATCTAAGACAAGTCTTTGTGTTTTGTTTTGTTTTTGTTTTTTTCTAACCAAACATGAACCTAAACCTAAACAAATTCAGTGGAGCCCTGCTGTGTTCTAGATGTTGTTCTTGGTTCTTTTGAGACATTTCAGATGGGTCAACATGCCACTCCTTTCGACGTCGAACATATTCCATTTTTTTGTGGATATTGGTTCTCTGTGAGGCTCACTGGAATCCTATGCCTTTAGAAAAGGATGCAGTGCTTGCTGAGGTTATTAGCCTACTGTGTGCTGCCAAACAAAAGATAAATGATTTCTGGAGGTATAATAGTGATTCGATCTGGGCATAGATAGTTTATGATTTAGTAACTTGTTGGTTTGGATGGTTGCTTGCTCTTGATGAATGAAACAATCATTAAATACACATTTAGTATTTTCTGTTTATCTTCGAAATTCTATTTGAAACTTCATCTAGAAACTTTAGTTGCTGAGCTGAATTGTTCAAGTGTTACAAAATCTGTGAAGGAAACAAAACCATGTGATGCTCCAGACCAAATGTGTTTACTTTAATTTCATTTTCACAGAGACAAAAGTGTTAGCTCTTTAGCCTAATTGATTTTTTTTTTAAGGACAAACAGAGGTAATTTGTAAAGGGGACGTTGTGCATATGTAAAGATTTAGAGAGTCTCAAATGATCAGAATGTAAATAAATTGCTTGTTTTTCCAGATATCACTGAATTTCAAACTCCAAGCAGCAATTTTTGAGGTTTAGGTTGATAGGAAACAAACTACTATTTTTCCTTTTAGGGATTCTGGGTCTTGTATGGAGGGTCTCCTTTTTATTCTTTTCCATTTTTAAAAATCCAAAACTTTCTCCAAACATGTAGCACAAATGAATAAGAACATTCCCAGCTTAACTCCTGTTGTATTATCGGTTTAAAATGACAGTTTGACGGTACTTGGACAGTTTGTATTTAGTGAAGTGATACTTGATGAAAAAGGTTTGTGAACCGCTAACGTAATCAATTAGGCTAAAGAGCAAACTCTTTTGTCTCTGTGAAAATCAAGTTAAAGTAAACACGTTTGGTCTGGAGCATCACATGGTTTCACAGATTTGATCAATCCTGCCGGGACTCACACAACTGACCTGCTCCTCCTCGAGATGGTCCCCCAGTAGCTTTTCTATCATTTGTCCGATTTTGCTGAAGGTCGGACGCTTTGTGGGCTCCAGATTCCAGCACATTTTCATGATGGCGTACCTGGAACAGAACGTAGAGAGGAGTGTCAGGGGGGCACAAACTGATCTACAAGACC